GCCGTTTTCTTCTTCGTCTTACAGGAATGGCTAACAAGAAAACGGCATATGCTGGTATATATAATACTAATACTGTGCTATTCCTCTGTACTTTTGTAATTTATGATTGCTCTGCTATGTCCTACTATAACATCTGAACACTGTTTGCTGATTGATGGTAGAAATAAGGGAGACGTAGATTACACACGATGACTACTAGTTTGTTAGAATGAAAAAATATTATACAATATTTCATTAATATTAACTACAAAATAATTACAGGTGAGTATCCAATAGCGTATAGTAACAAATAATTACACTTAAAAACTGGTCGTTAGTTGTTGTACAGCATAAATTTATTTAAATACTTAAGATACACAAGTTATGCTAAAAACCAGAAAACGTTTTCTAATGTCATAGTTATTATTGTGTTGTCTTATAGTAATGTTTTAAAGCATGTACCTGTAATGATAATGTATAAACTGTAGATGTAACATATTAAATGAATAAATAATACGGAAAGTATGAAAGTACTCAATATTTTTTACATTTTACAATTCACTATCTTACCTTTATTTTAGTATATAAATTTAGAGAAGTTAGTTTTATTCCATTAGTTATAGGCTAAAACTATTTTATAGCACCGATAAAAAAATGTTATCGTAGGTAACTGCCACATATTAACTATGTGTATTATTAATATTTTTGTTTCGGTCAAGTCAAAATAACGTCAAACTACTAAAGATTTTATGGAGAATTTATGGATTTTATAGAGATTTTTATTATCGTGTATTCTTTCAACGACACGGATGCAGTCTAATCTATATATTTATATATACCTTCACAACTATTATACAAGATGGGATAGTCATGTTATTGTGAACTTTGAAAGTCATGAATGCAACACTTGCCCACAGTTCACAAACAGCTTTCTGAATTGTCTTAATAGATTTTTTTGTGAATTTCAATATTTGTATTATGGAAAGTTTCAATTAAAATTCAGTGTCAGTTACGACTATAAATTCAGCCGTGAATTTATAGTCGTAACTCGTCAGCTAGTAGTAACTTATAATCTGTTCCAGTAGTACTTCTGACATTATTATTTGAAGTTGTTATTGTCAAAAAAAAATTTACAAATAATTCATTCATTCAAATGACTATTTTTAAACAACAGTTAACATTGAACTGCTCATGTTTTTGTATAAAACTGTGTTTAATCTTTTTATTATACATCATTGCATACTTGAATAATGATCATGGTCAGCGTAAATATTATATTATTAATGGGATATATGGATATATTGCTAGATTTGTTTCAACTAATATTAATACTTTTGTCCACAATTGCATATGAATTGACAAATTAAACTGTTTTATCTAAAGTTTTACCAAACCACTTCACTCCGAATTTATTTATTATTATATATATTTTTAAGAGGATACAATATTATCGTCTACATCTAATAAATAAAATTGAAGTGTCTTTTGGTTACTTACAGTCAATAACGTAACAAATTAACAGCTCTTTACTACATGCTTGTGAAAGTATATACCGCACTTAAATAAAATAATTTAAAAAATTGTCTGTCTGTTATTGCTAATCTCTGAAATGGCTGGATCGATTTTGACGTGGCTTGCACTCTCAGATAATGTAATATGGAATAACTTCGTTTATTCCAAAAATTTCATTTATTTTAATTCCACGCGGACGAAATCGCGGGTGACAGCTAGTGACTAATAAATTGGCGTAGAATTTGGTTATAATATCGTGTATCATATTAACACAACAAACTGAATACTGTAGAAATTCAGGATATGTAAAATATAAAGGTTCCTGAAGTTAAAAATGTAATGCTACAATGTTATCACTTTCTATCTATTCACTAGCAGATCTTGTATGCCCTTGGGACTAACTAATAGAGATCATGATTAATATTTGTCGAAAATTTCCTACGTCAAATGAATCAGTACTAATACAGTTTAGTCCGGTTGTGTTAGACGCGGGTATATTCATGAACATCGTCCTTGCCAGGAATGCGAGGTCATCACGCCTTCGTTGACGTTCGCGTTCTTTCGTGGCGGTCCTCTTGTGAAACATAATTATTGTTGTTTTAGAATAATTCATTCCGTATTCCATGCATGTCATTAGGTATGATAGGTCGCGAGTGGCACCTTGTGTTTTGACCTGTCTCATTTGAGAATACTGCTTTACTGAACTACCATCGATTATAATAATTTTATATTACTACTAGCTGTACCCGCGACTTCGTCCGCATGGAATTTCATATTATATTTCTAAAATAAAAGTAGCCCAAGTTACACCTTATTACATCAGCTACCTGCCAAAAACCGTCCCGTCAAAATAGGTCCACCCATTTCAGAGATTAGCCGGAACAAACAGACAGACAAACAAAAATTAAAATAAATGTTAGTTTGATGTATGTATGCACTCATATGCATGACGTAAAAAACTGTTATTTCAATATTACAGACAACAGACTCCAATTTTATTTATATATATAGAATATTTGGATTTAAAATAATTTTAGAATATTTAAAATTATTTTAAACTTATATATTCTTTAACAAATTCTTTGTGATTATTATGTGACATATATGTGGAAAAACTTGATTTCTCCAATGTTATATTCATTTATATTGATGAATATAGTATTCTAAAACACAATAATACTGGAAAAACTGGAAAATGTTCCTAAATTCTGAAAAGAAACAATAACGCAGCTTGTGTATTTCCAGGGATTGCATTTATTTTGGTACACGTTATGCAATAAGGAATTGGTCGTTTTATATTATTAGATTATATTTTGTTGCAACCCTTCTTTTCCATAGTGTTAATTAATTAATACAGTATTTAAATATGGTATTAACTACATTCTGGTCTCCATTTTTTCAACCTCCACAAAAGTATCGTGCTTTGTGACATAAAAACGAAGTTATCAAATTGCGTCTTGTTTTACTCTAGTTATTATTGATGTTTGCTTAACTGAAAATTTATTTTCTTAATTAATATAATTTTAAATATAATAATTATATCCGCATACGCATGCGTGCGTAAATGGATAATTAATAAACTGTCTGATCAAAGTTCGGAGGGCAGTAAGGGCTTTGATATATTGCGTCATATTATTACGACGTCATTATTAAGAAATACACCACAACAGCCATCGTCACGTATGAGAATAGTTGAAGTGAGTGGTACTTAAATTGTTGATATAATTTTAAAATTCTTTTTTCCTTGTTAACGACTATATGTTACTGTTTTCTCCGTAATATATTAGTAATTAATAAAACATGATTACTGGTTTACAATAATATGATATTTTAAATTAATGAACGCATTTTAAGAAAATTTTAATCACCGTATTATTTTCGTTCTTCGTTATATCTATTCTAAAGTATTTCTTTATTTGCATGTCATCAATATGTTCCACAGTTGTATCTGTTACTATAAGGTTGCCTTGAAAACATTGCTGTCAGCAATAAGGCCTCCTTATTCTATTTATACGAATTGTATTTATGAATGTTCAGTGTATTTTTTCTCTTTTCTGTATAATACAAATAAAAGTATATTCTATCTATCTATCATTAATGAACATGTATTGGTCAACCCTAAATTTGCCATTGAGCAATTTGATCGTGGTATATAATAAATACTAAGAACATTGTACTTTGTATTTTGCGATTACAAGTAGGAAAAGTAAAAAATTACATCACATTATCGAATTTTCAACCGAGGAAAATTCTAGCACTTTTTCTTTAAGCATTCCAGGTAGTTGTCCAAAATCTCTCAGTCGATGAACCCTAACAGTTCTTACACTTTTTTGTTTATTGCTAAATAATCTTACACATTTAGCATTTTTTTTATCTTTAATAAAGAAATCACCTAAACCATAGAACAAATCGCCAAAGCTGTTTACTGCTGCGTTGGAAGATGTCTTCAAGCTTCTGGACTGGAGCGGGCTGGGCATCAACATTAACGGCGAGTACATCAATCACCTTCGATTTGCCGACGATATCGTGGTCATGGCTGAGACCCTGGAAGACCTTAGCAAAATGCTCGAAGACCTCAGTAGAGTCTCACAAGGAGTGGGTCTTAAAATGAACATGGACAAGACGAAAATTATGTAAAACGTCCATGTCGTACCTGCTCCCGTAAAAATCGGAGATTCTACGAAATTGTCGATCACTACGTATACTTAGGGTAAACTATCCAGTTAGGTAGATCCAATTTCGAGAAAGAGGTCAATCGTCGAATCCAACTCGGATGGGCAGCGTTCGAGAAGCTCCGATATATCTTTTCGTCCAAATTTCTGCAGTGTCTCAAGACGAAGGTTTACGACCAACGTGTGTTGCCAGTGACTGACTTACGGAACAGAGACGTGGTCGCTAACTATGGACTCCATCAACAAGCTCAGAGTCACTCAGAGGGCAATGGAGAGGGCTATGCTCGGAGTTACTCTGCATGATCGAATCAGAAATGAGGAGATCCGCAGAAGAACCAGAGTGACCGACATAGCCCGAAGAATTGCGACTCTAAAGTGGCAATGCGCAGGGCACATAGCTCGTAGGACAGATGGCCGTTGGGGCAGTAAAGTCCTCGAGTGGCGACCACGAACCGGAAGACGCAGCGTGGGAAGGCCTCCAGCAAGTTGAACCGACGATATGGTCAAGATCGCTGGAAGGCATTGGATACGAGCAGCGCAGGACCGATCGTCGTGGAGATCTTTGGGGGAGGCCTATGTCCAGCAGTGGACGTCTTCCGGGCTGCGATGATGATGTGATGATGATAATAGAACAAATGTGAATAAATATAATTTAACGTCTTCATTACGTTAAAGATGACTCCTTGTAATGTTAAAATATAAAGAATATCTTTTTTATTATCATTCATTAAAACCGCGCCTAACTCAGGTGCACTTACACAGTATACTCAAAGGTTCTTTAATTAGTAGTTTTCTTTTTTTAAATCTCGTACTACAAGAATTTTTACTTTGTCACAGTTGCGAGTTCCTCTACGGCAGATCCTGCGTCCGCGCGACCTCAACGTAGTCATCAGCAAACGGCATCTTAAGGTCGGCGTCAAAGGTCAGCCTCTTATCATCGATGGTGAGCTTGACGCCGATGTCAAGATAGAAGAATCCACATGGGTGCTACAAGATGGACGGAACTTACTGGTTAATTTGGAAAAGGTAAATAGCTAAGGTGATAATCATAGGTATATACATATTAGTCAGTGACAGTGTGTCACAATTTTTTTTTTACAATAATGACCATTTTTATATTATTTACAACTGTTACGGTTTAATGAAGTAGAGCTTTGGTGAGTTTGATTGCTATTTCAAATTGTATAAATACGTAATACGAAAATTTAAAATTAATGCTTATCTCTAACAATTTTTTTTGTCAAATATGATAAATAAACCTTGTAACACTTTTCTGAAATTGCTTAGTATAATTATTTTAAACATAACTTTGTTATTACATGAAATGTTCTTGCAGATACCTATTAAAGTTAATGATCAATTCTGTAGTTGTAAGAATGTACACTCCCATTATAGGTGAACCAATTGAATTGGTGGCGCCGATTAGTGACTACGGATCCAGAAATATCTACTAGAAAAATTAATCCAGGTAATTAACCATGCTTTTCTTATTTATATATTTAGTTGTGAGATATTGCGTGAATGTTTTGTTCAGAACAATAGGAGAATTAAAGGTTTTTGTCAAAACATAATAAGTATACAACCTAATGAACTGCGGAAATTTTCATGAGAAAGTAGAGAAAGTCCGGCGTGAAGGAGGAAGCTCAGGTTTTGTCTTTGTAAAAACGAATCCGCGTAAAATAGCAAAAACTGACTATCTTTAAAATGAACAAATAATAAAAATATATACCCTTTTTCTTGTTTTTTTTAATAATCTAGTGTCACCCAATAAAAAACGTTTCATGTTCGGTAGAAATGTTGGGTTTCCAAATAATAAAAAATATATATTTAAAATATTTCTTTATTTGACATCTACTAAGTAAATATTTTCGGAAATTTCCATGAGAAAGTAGAGAAAGTCCGGCGTGAAGGACGAAGCTCAGGTTTTGTCTTTGTAAAAACGAAGATTTTTTTAATATTATAAATATTGTATATATATTATACACTTAATAATACATTGAAATAGAAATGGAAATAATATTTACTCTTTTGAAAATTGGTGGTCCAGTTGGCCAATAACATAATAAAATTTTGTTAAATCAAAAAAAAAACATAATTATCTGCTTAATATTTTCTAGTAATAGTTTTTGATTCTTTTCTTTAATATGGATTGATCTAAATATATTACATCTGTTTCAGAGCCATCTAAATTATCTGATCTAGATGGGGAAACCCGAGGTCTTGTTGAAAAGATGATGTATGATCAAAGGCAAAAGGAGATGGGGAAACCCGAGGTCTTGTTGAAAAGATGATGTATGATCAAAGGCAAAAGGAGATGGGGCTTCCCACTAGCGACGAACAAAAGAAACAGGACGTCCTCAAAAAGTGAGTTATGCCTAAAGTTATTAATACAATGGATATGTCATCTCATTTGAAGGACACAACAATTACTGTTTTAATACCATCGCAAACGACGAATTGCTTGCGATAATTTGATAAATGATAATTATATGCAGGGATACAGGTATACCATAACAAAACGATTAAAGATTTAAAAGGTAGTTTTTCCAGATAAAATTATTATAATTTAATTTACGACATAATTAAGACTATTTATATTTTTGTGTTAACAAAAACAAACTGCAATTATTTAATTATAAAGAATAAAAATAAAACCAGGATTCCAAATTCTTTAAGTTGGAACAACTTGTTACGCAGTGAGTCGATTGATTGATACAATAGATAAGAATCTATTGAAATATTTCATTATCTTTGGACAATAACTGAGTTATTACTTCACGCTAACATTACCTGTAAGAAAATTACAAATACAGGTTTATGAATTTTAGACCAAATATTTATATATAATTGGACTACTTTAGATTCAATGTGATAGGCTTTTTTAACTAGTTACACTATTATTTTACTTGAATATTTTGTCAATTGACAAATGAATGCCCACAATTCCACAAGAATGCGTGACGTTAATATTGAGATGAAATTTATGTTGTTATTATAAATTTGTTACACGTATTTATGTTGAGGTCTATGGCATGTAGAGAATTGGCATTCTTTACAGTTATTTTTATTTATTATTAAAACAACGTTCTAATCTTAGGTAGATTTTTTAAAGATCTGAATAAGCGAAAGACTACCTTGATCGCACGTATGTCGCATTTGCCGTCGTCTTCATTAGCCGTAGTCTCTTTTACACTTAAAAAATATTTACATAGGTAAAACTTATCAACAAGTATGATTGCTTGTGATATTGAGTATGCAAAAATAAATTAGTTGTGACAATGTCGTCCTTCATAAATTTTGTCGTAAGTTAATTACTTCAGGTACTTAAACGACGTAGATATGAAGCTCATGATAAGAACTGCGTCTTTGCGTCTGTTGTAGTTGAAACGATGATATATTAATTTATATATTATTTACATACATTCTGAAAATAAGCTTAAAATCTGGTTTAATTAGCTAGTTTTTAGTTTGTTTCTACTTTAATAATAGTTAACGTTCTGAAAAACTATTATCTAAACTTATATCTCCTACACACGCCACGGTTTGTTATATTGTTTTAATGTAATGTCCTTAGTTTGTGTTCAAATTGTTTATTGCTATGTCGCGATTCAATTATGAGACCTTTTCATTATTATATATTCACGGTTAAATATTAACGTGTTGTATGTAGTTATCTTATCAACTTCTTTTTGCTAATGATGATAATGTTAGTTATTTTTTAAATTCTCTACATATATTCTATTGCTACTTGTATTGCTTATTATGTGAATTGTATGTTGTAAATTGTAACTTATAAATGATAAAATCTATATAGGTTTCTAATCCTACAGTTACAAGGGTCGACTTGGTTTTGACTTTCGTTCGATATGACTTGGTCTGTCGGATCCCAACAAATTGGTACTTGACATAATGTTGCATTCACAATTCAGACTTCAATCAGGGTCAGGTTTAAACAAAATTGTATGCGTAGAGTTAGATGATTGACTCACAGATATCGATATTAATCAGGGGGATGAGAATTTGTGATAAATAATTTTGAAAATTCTTTATATGTATGGTACACTCACGTTTTTAACTAGTGTCTTTGAAATGAGTTTAAACCATATTTTTTGTCATGACTAATAATACGGAACTGATTTAGAAGATTTTAATATTCAGGGTTTATTTTATTTTGGACTTGTACTAATTTTATCACGATATAATTTATAGAAAATAAAGTCGTATGCAGTTTTGAAAAAATATTTTAATTTGTTTACAGATTCATGGAACAACACCCAGAAATGGATTTCTCTAAGTGTAAATTTAACTAAAAAGCTATAGGTTACTTATTTAAGTGCAAGCTAATAGCAATGTTTCTCATAGGAATTTTTGTATCATGATTACACATATGGGTGAAAGTTGTTTTGCAATAAAATCAATTTTAATCTACATTCCATAGTTACATGATTTTAATTTCGATTTCGTGAATATTTTAATATAAGGATTGATACTTGTAGTTCTCAATGGTAAATTTTTAAATTTATTAATATTGTAAAACAACTTACACCAATTGGATTAAGATAGGGAACATCTGCATGTAAAAAAACACTTAAACCTCTTTGATCACTCGTCGATTCGACAGCATCTTAATTATAGTACATTTAGGTTTAATAGTGCTTTCTTATTACTGCAACTAAACTTTGCTTACCGTTGGGTTAGTATCATTCGACGCATAGTATTGAAACACGTGCTTCTGTTACCAAGACACGTGCAGGATACAGGATACAGCGAAAATGGAACTCGAGTTGACACGTGCATAGGGGTTTAAGTAGTATTAGTAGTGATCTCCTTGGCGCACTACCCAATATTTAGTTAAAATAAATTTGCTTTAGTCACTATTATTAAATCCCATACGATACTATAAAATATATTCGGTAAAACTGAATCGAAAGCATAACAGTGATTTTCTCAAATATCACAAATTTGCGTGTTGCTGTCTGTAAATCGTCGTAGATATTTATTGAACATTTTATATAAGTGTCTACGAATATTATAATGAGCAATAATAAAATTTGTAAAAGTTTGATTATTGTCATTATTTACTTAATAAATAATTGAAATAAATACGAGTTTGTTTAATTTTATATCAAATTTAATAAAGTAATTGTATAAAGTTTTATACTGTAGTACAAAGTATAGGAAGAAACTTACTAGTTAGAATTTGACTTGAATGAAGATAAAAAACTCAGACATAATTAGGTATTAAAATTGGAGTCAACAAGTGAATATATTTAAAAGAAACTTGGCGATAACTCATGAGGTATAATAGTCCAGTAAAATTTTAAATTAAACAATGTGACCAGTTTGGCGCAATATAAAAAAATAAGTTCGAAATTTTGATTTAAGTTGACGGGAAAGGCATTGAAAAACGCATTTTTTTTTTCAAAATATCTCTGTAACTGTAAGAAATATGAAAAAAATTTTTACCTTAATAAAAGATTCCATTTCATTGTTTCATTAACTGCTGTTGTTTAGCCACATAATTAAAAAAAATAATTAATTAAAACTAACAGCAAAAATTTCTTTCTGAATATTATTCATGTATTTGCGGACTTATTTTTATATCTTGCGCTAAAACTGGTCACTTCATGTTTAATCTAATATTTTACTGGACTAATAATTTAGTAAGATTTGTATTTAATGTGTATCTGTACGTATCAGCATTTAAATATCAATAATAACTGTGATATAGAAATTCGAATATGAATAAATTAACTCTCACTTAAATCTTTTCCTCTACATAGTATACAATGAAGGCCTTTCCGCCGTCTGTTTGCTTAGATATTTTAAAGTACGCCATGGATTTTAATGCACTTTTTAGTAAAAGCTGATTGTGATTCAAGAGGAAGGTTTATATGTATAATACATGGGTACATACGTGGTACATTCAGTTTTAAAATCTGTTTAGTATCTTAGTAAGTCTCCTGATTGATACTGTCATTTGTTATGCGTTTTACTACTTCACATCATAATTTGATGGCGCCATCTATTAAAATGAATTGTCATTTATTTGTCCCCGTACAAGTAAAGTATTGGGTAGCAATTAATTTAATTTAACTACAATTATTATAATATATTTATTTAGGTATTTGATGATGATGATGTAATAATAGGCAATTTATATACATCTTGTATGAATTTTGTTTTAAACATTCAATCCATTTGACTATTAAGCATTGTACCTGTCAAAAGTATTAAGGCATAAGCATGTCAAAGTAGTTTCAATATTTGTCAATGTCAAAGTTAGTTTGTGTCGTCACGTCAGTCAGTAGTTGTCAACTTCTCAACTAAGTTTCCTTCTTTGTCAATTACAACCTACAAATTATTGTTAATAATATTTATTTATTTTGACTATATTAATTTCCATGTTACAAGTTTTAAATACAATTAAAAAATGGTCAGATCAGTATACTCTCCAGAATATTGTCTTCAATATTTAGAGCAGTATGCGTCGCAGGAAATTTTTGTTATAGGCTTAATATTGGGACAGGTTTGTTGCGTTTTTATTCAATTTTAATATAATAATAATCATTATTAATATGTGAATATTTAATTACTAGTTACTTTATTGTAGACTACAGAGTCACGAGAAAATGTAATCCACTTGGCTCGAACACCAGAGGAAAAAAGTTCTGACAGTACATCAGAAACCAGTTCTGTATCTGATAAGGCTGAGTCTGTGAGGAATCTGCTGGGTGTTTCAGAAGCATGGGTAGCTGATCATGCTAAACACGTAACTAGAATGCTGCCTGGTGGCATGTTTGTTCAAGGTAAATTGTATTGCAATATTTGTATAATTTTTTTTCTGTCAGCACCTTTCACTATGACAAAAAATAGCTTGTGTCCTTCACCTATTTATTTAATTATTATTGAAGTGTGAAAGTATTAGAAACAGTAAAAAGTAAACTGACTTTTAAAGTCGGTTTATATATGTTATGTTAGTTAAGATTAAATTATAAAATGTTAGATTAATGTTGTCTAAATATTTTTATTCCTGGCCTTTGAAATTTCATAACATTTGGAGATGGAGGAATACTCCTTTGTGAAAAAAGATATTTATAGTATTTAAATTGTCTAAAAATTGTAATATACTACCTAATATAACCGCACATATGTAAAATAAACAATTAAGTAATGCTAATAACATAAGTATTTCATTGTAATTTACAGGTGTATTCATTACAAGTGATGAAGATATTTTTGAAGATCCCAATTATTTCAGTAAAGTGCACTCAATTTTGAATTACACATACAAGGCTTTGAATACCAATGAACATATGTATGGAAATTGCCCATACAAAAATGAGCGCCTCATTTTACATATGTCTACAAATACTAAGGTTCTGACCTGTAAGAATGTAGAAGTGGGTTCTAATATCAAGAACACAGTTATAAAACCTGTAGATTGGAAATTTTTGTCAAAACCACCACAATGGCAGAGACTGGATTGTTATTATGAATTTGATGAAGTGTATCCTGTGATAGTAAAGAAAAGTGGTATATCAGTTAAACATCAATTTCAAGTATGTAATAATGATTGTAGCATTCTGTACCTAGTTTTGTTATGGTGAACATAGAAGAACTCATTCCACATGTTTTGGCCAATGTTCATAAAAGTTAAGTAATACTTAACTTGTTTTTCTGTGGTGAACATTCAATAATATATTTTACAGTGTTATCAAAATTTTAATATTTAAATGATGGAATGTAATAACATGAAAAAAAAAACCAGTTTTAGCTAGTTGTTGATAATCAAAACATTGCCTTTATTAATAATTCTTTTAAAGATATTGTTGAAACTATATATAAATCATCAATCATTGAATTTCAATCAATAAAGGAAAATGTCTCAATTTTGATGATTTATTTGTATTGTATTATTATACAATCACTATATTTATTTTATACTCTCAAGATATTATTCATAGTGATATTCTCTGCTTTCAGCAAATCCTGGAATCAGCACATAAGACAATAGAATCCAGTGTAATGTTTATTGATGGAGAATTAAGAGATGGTTCTGAAGCATTAGAGCAGCTCACAAAGAAGAAAAAACCCAAAAACAGTAACAAAACTACACAAGATACAGCAAAATCCATGCATGTATCATTATTTGTGCCTTTTGTGAGTAATCTTAATAGTTGATCTTTCAACTATTTAATATATTAAAGTTTTCCTGTAAAAATAATATTTAACTTATGTTCAGTAGTGTTCTTATTATTTTGAAAGAGATTTATAAGCTACTTATAATATTAATTGAAATTTAAATTCAATGTGAAAAATAATCACATCAACATATACCATGGTATTTTATTTTTTGAATTTTTAATTGAAGAACTGAGAATACCAACCAATTGTTATTCCACCGGAGGTTGGAACTAGTGCTACATGAGTCAAACTACATATAGGAAAGTATAACTTACTTAAATACTGAGTGCTCTTCACATGAAACACCATCAGTGTCCAAAGAACAATTTTATTATTTTATGACTATAACATAATGTCTCTTTCAGGAAAATTCTTTGCCAGAAACAGTTGAATATCTCGAATGTGATGGTAGTATACATTTTAGTGGTGTAGTATCTTCCAGCGTGTTTATGTGTACAAAAGCAACAGTCAGTGAAGCTATTGCAGCTGTGAAACAGGACATAGTCAGATCACTTGCATCACGATTCACTATGCACTGTGATGCACTGATTGATGATAATCTACTTCCAGAAGGTGAGACTTATAATCTCATCTAATAAATTGTAAAAAAAAAAAATGAATTCATTACCGTCATTACATTATTTCCTTTTTGAAAATACATAATTAAAAATATTTATATTTTATAGAGAAAGTATGTTTCAATGAACCTCCACGTCGCGTCCTAGTGCCGGTTGGTACAATTTACCTCTGTGACTACCTGTTCCCTGGCGAAGCACCAGCTGAGGCACTACTCTCTGTTCGAGAGTTACTTGACCTCCAGATTACAGAAACTGATGTTATTTGTGATGTGGAAACACCAGCAGGTAAAGCACATGACAAAGAACTAAAACAATCTTTCCAATATTTCTGTAGTTGATGGATTGGTATTGATACCTATAAATTGTAGCTATATATGTTAAAATCTAGTTAATATGAAACATAATAAATTAATACTTTTTGATTTTCGATATCCAAGTCCCAAACTTAGATATCCTGAAACTTGTACAAAATTAGCCACTTAAGGTATCTAAATAAATAATTATTGCACTTTGAAAATTTATTTTTAGGTAATGTAAGTACTTATGTTTTTAGATACTTCAGAGTTCGATGCACTAGACAGAGATGCCAGTAGCGAGGAACTTTTGGCCACACCACAGGAGGCTAGCCAGTTCATGTACATCACAGGAATCTGTTTTGCTATGTTTGTTCTTATTGTATCAATTATTATTCACTACTATGACTCAATCTTGCAGGTTCTCAGCAAACTTGTTTCAAAGTCTTAAGACTGGTTGTAGATAAACGGATCAGAAAAAAAAATGATAGCGCGTGCTTTATTGTGTCCCTTTATGAGTACGCGAAATACAAAGCTCAATTTATGTTGGTCATGTTTTGATCAAATTGTTTCTTATTCTATTTCGATGTATTATTACTACGTAGTAATAGCTTACTTACCAGTCAAGTATACGCCACTGAGCGACTCCACTTTATTGATAATATTTATTCCTTAAAACACGAAAGCATAAAGTGGGTATTACATAGTTTGTAATTACGTGATTGATCACACATTTTCTATTATTTAGACAATATTACAGACAATTTTTAACATGGTTATGGTAAGACTATTTGACTACATATATTATTAATAAATTAATAGCTAAGAAATTAGAAACCAGATTTTAATTTATGTAAAGTGTTGCTTTTTTTCTGGTCCATGTAGTAACACTGAAATTTTAGTACTATTTATTCTTAATTAATATTTTTTAATAGAAACCAGTTCATATTTCTACCCAAATGCCTGTTCATATTATTGTACATTATTTAATCTTGGGAACAACGGGAAAGTATTAATGTTTTAATATTTTTAATTAGCAACAGGCAAGTGGTGCATACTATTTTAAACGTAACATATTATTTTAATGAATTTGACACCGTTAATTTATATTATTAAGTTTTTTAGTTATTATAATATTTTAAATGTCTTTATTTATTTGATTAATATTATCAAGCTTCGTCATTTGTAACCAGAGGGAACCGAATCAATCAATATGTTAAGAATTAGCTTAATTTTTATGTATTATATTTATGTGTATAATATTATTAAAACATTTGTTATAATATATGACTTTTAATAAGAGTTCACATGATTTTAGTTAAGTTGTTACTTACCATAAAAGTTAGTTACGTATATGATTAGTTAGCATAGCTGCGACTTTGCTCTTCCCTTTTAGATAAAAGATAGTACTCGTGGTACAATCGATATTCACATCGAATTTCATTATGATCTAATCAGTCATTTATTCGTGAAAAGGTATGGTGGCATTTATAATATTAAGTTTGTGAGTTGAATAATCTCTAGTACTATTTGATTTTGAAAATTCTTTTAGTGCTGGGCAGCCAATTTTTCAAGGAAGGCTATATATTAATCTATCAATTACCAATATTACAAACCTACCAAGATTTCTTTTTAAAATCGGGTATTTTTTTTTATACTACTATGGTGGCAAACAAGCATACGGCCCATCTGATGGTAAATGGTTACCGTAGCCTATGGACGCCTGAAGCACCAGGGGTGCCACGTGCGCGTTGCCGACCCTAAATAAACCTTAATATACCCTTCTTGAAAAACCCCATGCTGTAGTCTCGTGAGAAAACCTCGGCAGGAAGTTCATTTCACAATTTAAGTGTACGCGGGAGGAAGTTCCTCTGAAACCGCACTGTCCGAGACCACTTAGGTTCCAGCGTGTGGGAATGAATTCCCTATCGATGGTTAAAGGTGGCCGTAGGCATCATGTCGAACAATTCCTCAGAACACAGTCCGTTGTATAATCGGTAGGACACACAAAGCGAAGCGAAGTCTCGCCTCAAACTAAGTGGCCCGACACCGTCAGAGAGATTGGGATCATCGACAATTCTCATAGCACGTCTCTGAACCGAGTCAAAAGCTGTTCTGGAATTGCGGAGCCACAGCAAAAGCGGTTTTCTTAGCGGTGAACGCGCAGGCTTGTGTCTTGGTACTCTCGATTTCAGACACAAGCTGTTCGCGGTTTGCCTCCACAACGGAAAGAGGGATATTAGCACGGCCCGTGTAAAATGCGTCCCCAGTACTGTCATCCGCATAACAATGAACGTTAACTGTAGTTAGATGCCGGTGTAGTCACCCTGATCAATGCGAACCCATAGGATTGACAGGTCTTTTTCTTCTAGACCAAGAAGGCGGCGACAGCAGATATCTTCCCGTCCGGGAAGATATCTGCTGTATGTCCATACAAACAAATCCCGGCACGACGCACAAATTTGTGCTCGAGTTTATACCCAGGATACAGCAGGTACGAACTGTCAGCCGGAGAGGATATCTGCGTCTCCGTAAGGAATAAAAGGGTCGGCTTGGCGGTCTCATCGGTCTCGCGGTGGTCTCGCGGTGATGGTGGACCGCATTGGTGTTTCCGTGAAGCCCCCTGATATTGCAGAAATCCATATCTATGTGGATTGGGATGCCGCTGAAGTACTATATTTCCTTTTTTTGCTTGTCATGGGAAGTTTTTTTTTAAGGTTAAAGAGAAATGGTTGCGCCGGTATCAGAAAGGACAAAAGGTGCATCAACGGACCCCAGCATTGCACAGGTTGGGCGATTTGGTGGCACGGCGGCTGGAAGGGACCCCTGTCCCCCTACTGGTGTAGCAGCCGGGTCCACTCCGGTCTCCTCCTCCGGCACGACTACTACACCAGGGATTATGCACAGGCGGTGGTTCAGCCTCCCAGGGCGGAGATTATGTAATCCCTGGGTTCGGAAACCCAACAACCTGCGGGCGGCCAGCGGTTAGCCGTTTCACCGGGTCTCCCTGAACGCCGCGCCACCACGTCGCGCCTATGCAATCCTGAGGCACCGTTGGACACAGGTTCACCAATACCAGCACAACCAATCCCCATGGGGCTCTGATCACCTTACTCACCACAGGAACACAGTGCTGTGGTATAGTGCAAGTACAGCACTGTTTGGCTGTGGTTTTCCGCTTGGTGGAGGTACGACGCCAGTTCGGGCCGCCCCAAGTCGAGCAAGACGTATTGAAATACATCCTGCTGTGCCCTCCCATATGCCTGAGTATTATTATGTAATATCACAGATAACATAATATTACTATGTTATTTGTGGTATTATGTACTTAAAGATTTGGAGGTATGTATAAAAATGAGCTGGCAGCTACCTTGGACAAAGAATTAAGTCTAGCTATTCAAAGAGGGAACGCTGCCAGTATCTTCGGAACGTTCCCTAAAGGGACCCCTTTAAATAATATATTTTAGTCATCATATTATATTTTTTTAAGCTTTTTAATTTTAGGTTCTTTGTTGTACAATTAGGTTATGTAAATAAATTATATGAAATCTTATTCTAAAAAAAATCTGTTAAATATAATTTTCTTGCAAATATATGTATATGTAATTGCTTCAAAAAAAATGAAATTACATGTAACGTCGCCAAGCGCTGTCTTTACAGATTACCTGCCAACCAACTAGTTGGCAGTTCCAGGTTTTGACCTCCTCAGTCAGTTGGTAATGATAAGCTATTTTCGTTCTGTGTTAATATTATTTATTTATTTCAAAACGTATGTATTTTACATAGCTGCCCTAGCCGAAAACTATACACAGCTTCATACGCTTTTGGACATTATGAATACAATTTTGAAAACATATGAACTAAATATTATTACCAAGAAAACTAAAACAAATTTAAATATGTAGGTAGTTTGATTACCAGTGACTCCAGATGATCTAAGGATATTAATATTAGAGTAGTTATCGCAAAAAAGCATTTAATGATAAATAACATCTTTTGAGAGCTAATATATAAAAGTCTTCTCGGAAACGACTTATCAAGACCTACATCTGGTGTATAGGCTGATATGCCTGTGGGACGTGGACATTAACACAAAAGAAAAGAAATAAACTAGAAGCCTTTGAAACGTGGTTTTGGAGAAGTACGGAAAGATAAAGTAAGGAATGAGGAAGTGCTTGAAAGCACTTCCTCATTCCTTACTTTAAAGAAACAGAACTTTTAAAAAACAGACAACATATAATTGGGAATAGGCGGGGAAAAATGTTGGGACAGTTGATACGACACGATGTACTAATTAATGCTATTAACGAAGGAAAAATGGATGGAAAGAGAGGAAGGGGAAGACCAAGAAACATTTATAACAAACAAGTTAAAAAAAAGTCGGAGTCGTATCGATCAATAGCTAAAAAAACAGAAAATCGTGGAAGGTGGCGAGAGCTCCACCGACAAGAGCACAGCTCTTAAATTATGAAATAGTTCTTATATACACCTACTTACTACCATATGCTTATTACATATTAGAATAACAATAACAATGATTTACTGTTTTTTCCTACCTAAAAGGATCTTCCTTCATAGTAGATCAATAATAGTTTTAAGTAAATCATATATATTTTTAGTTCACTGTATTTTGTGATTAAATTACTTAAATAAACTACACTTTAATAGTCAACTGTATATTTTGGCCATCAATTATAACTTCCATTATTAATTTGGTTACTGACATAGCGCCATCTACTGTGCCGTGTTTAGTTACATATCTATGTTCAATAGATGGCATGTAGAGTTTGAAATAGATAAGTAAATGTAAACGCTTCTGTGTTGTGTGGTGTATTATGCATTCACGATGATAATGTACACACGATATCATGTGTGAAAGAGAGAACCGATGGAGTTCTCTGAAGTTGGTTTGGTTCATTCGATTTGCGTAACATTGTTGATAAACTGGTTGGTGTCTAACGTCACCGTAATTCTTCATACTCGTATGTCATGCGAATGAAGTGAAGTTATGAACAGGTTAGGTAGTTTCGATAGTTTCGCTCGGTTGTATTGTATTATTCCTTGCTCATGCTTCAAAGTTAATTTAGTTGCACAATGATATTGTTTAGTTTGTGTTGTGTTTTGTTTGTGTTCTAGTATATACTTAAATGTAAAAAATGTAAACAAGTTCTTTATGGTAGTTTCTAAAAGAAACTTATTACTCCTCAGTTTATATAAATATATATTGATTTCTAAAACCGGTTCCTATGTCAATCGGTGTTGTTTTATCTATAAAGTTATAATATATTTGAAATGGAGTTTTCATTTAACAAATTAAAAAATATTTTAAATACGAAGAGAGACAGTCAGCTGGTTGGCAGTGGCAGCTTGGAGCCAGAAATAGGCTTTAAGTTGTCATTACATCCAGTTGCTAAGACTTTGTACGTGACAGTTATCGGTGCCCGGCACCTACCGTCCTTGTTTGGGTTGAGTCGCGCCCATGGATACCTAGCAAAGGTAACATCCGGACATTGTTTATATTTACGACGTAAATAAATATAATTGTTACTTTTATTAATGAAATATTTATTTATATTTACTTACTTGAATAAAATATTTTTATAGTAAGTACCTCATTAATACTGACTATAGAGAATAGAGACAAGGTCGCAGACGATTGAAGAAATGAAATAATAATAAAAGTTTTATACAACTGCAACTAGATTTATCCACTAGCACTAGTTACTGTATACGACCTTTGTATGACGGTTATAAATGTTAAGTGCGTCTCCATCGTAAATGGATTTATACTTCGCATATTAAGCCAAATTCCTGGACGACTGCTCGAGTTGTTACGACGGAAAGATACAAAATAAGCAGCCATACCTATCGACATCCTAATAAAGTACGCTCGAGTCCTCCAGAATGGAAACAGTTTTTTTTATAAATGAATTACAATGGAATGCTGGTTATGTCTGCGTCTGCGCTAACAGTATACTTATGCGGGCAGCTCATCAGTGGACGAGATGAGGAACAGGCCAAGTTAAATCATTTAGTTAATTAGTGGTGTCCATGTATATAGCCAGCAGTAGAATTATTGTTAACGTAATTGAATGTTTTTCAATCCGCCTACTCCCTAAAACTGACAGGACCTACTTAGTAGGTCGTACTAGGAAGGCATCTGATCATCTGTGTTAATTCGTCTAGATTTTTTACTTTTCTGGCGGATTTACTAATAATTCAGTTCTACTGTTTCTTGATATTTTTAGGAGGTAGGTGATCATATCATCCTTAAATTTATCCACCTGAATTTCTACCGGACAGCATGTCCATTCCAAGACATTGTAGATCTATTGTTATCTAATTTATATTCGGTTTTGTCCATTTGCTATTTTAGTTGGCCCAGTCCCTCTGGCCATTATTCTAGATTACTTCCGGGCTGATTTAATGTAAAATTTTTTCTTGTATGGACAAGTTATCAATCATCATGTGTTACGTAAGATAGATACATAAAATACGTAGATATCTACTGATAAACGTATAGAAATACCTATTAATACGTTTTGTCATATCTCGAATAAGTTAAAATATCATGGCATTTAGTTAAAACTTATGTCAGAACAATAATTGTTTTTGGGATATTAATACATAAGTATGTTGTTCTTAGGGATTTTCAAAATCCTGATTCGAATTTCAAATTTCTTTACACGGCCAAATTTATCGCTAGATACCTCAAAATCCCAACCCGTGTTCATCATTCTTTTTAGTATTCCTGTAGTGTTACAATCGCAATAAAGAGCATAAAAAATCGGAAGGTAGCGTCAATCGTACTTTCGTATATAGATATCTACATATAAAATATAAAGTTAAATAATTACTAACTTAGGTTTCGGATTTTTAATAAGTATTATTATTATTTAATAGTTGTGTTATAAATGATAATTACACAGATTTTTTTTTGGATCCTTTCAACATTTTTACAATTAAAAATTTAAGCGCCTACTCGTATGCATGCACTCAGGATACCTACATATTACAACTTGCGGGATAGCGGACACACGCTAACATCCGTCTAATTGTTTCACTAATTGAGGCCAACTCCAACTTGCTGCTCACTGATTGTTTATGAACTACCTGCCTACTATTAATTATATAGGTATAGCTATAATTGTTTTAAAACACAAAATGCGATAATATTCATTCTGTGTTACGGCTGGGTGCATAACTCAAACTTAGAACACTCCCATGTCTATGGAGACGTAAATGTGATGTAGCTCGAGCGCATTATATTACATGTAGGGTAAGAGGTGGTGGAAAACAAATATTGTCGCTTTTAAACGGATATTAAAAATATGAAGCTTTCACCTTTTTATCAGTCCTGACTGAATAGGACACGAGTAACAACTTTAAAATATTTAAAACACTGTCGAACTTTTTGAAAGCATATTGTTTTAAGCGAGATATCGAAATTACATTCACACACTAGTGCCAAAAAAAGTAAATAAGAACAGCGATATCTCTCGCAACATATAATTTACATACTCGCGGAGCTTCAAAATAATAAACGAAAATGTTATTAATCTAAAAGAAAAAAAAACTCTGTTTTCTTAAGAATATAATACTATTACAATGGGTTCCTTAAATTTTTTATTGTCTGTTAAATCAACTTTCATTTATCATTAATGGTTATATCGTTATTGTGTTCGTATAACTATGTAGTGGAGGTACCTCTAAAATTTCTCCCTTTGTTAGGAGTACCTAGAACACAAAAAGTTTGCAGAACCTTTTGTATTCTGAAATGAACCATACGTCGAGTACGTATGGCATTGGATATCGACCATAAACTTAATCTGATAATACTTCTTAAATTATGTTATTTGAAATCTTTAGATACCTACCTAAAGTTATATATAATACGAACATTTAATAAGTAATGCTAGGCATATCTACTTTCCCGTTAACCAATTCTTTATCTTTGGCTTATCATTGAGCCATTTTAAAATAATATGAAACATTGTGTCTGTTCGTTTATACATATTGCGATCGTGCGTTGCCGTTGAATTAGTTTTAAATTCAATTGCCTGCAATGAAATTTCGAGTTACAATTTCTCTATGTAAGTATCTAAGGACAGCTAGACATACTTACTTCCGCATTTAGAACATTTGTATTTATTTACAAAAAATGATAATGTATATATTGTATTTTTTTATTTTAATAACGACAGAACGATATATTCATATATTTATTATCTATAAATAAAATGTAAAAGTAGTTTTTATTTTTCCTACATATAAATGAGTAAATCTTGTTTAAAAGTTAATGAAATTATTTTCAGGTGAAAATTTTTCCAGGTGACAGTAAATATGAAACAACATTGCAAGATAGTTCATGGCCCGTATGGAACGAAGATTTTACGTTTCAACTAAAGCAAAAAGATACAAAAAATTCACAAAAACCTGACCTTAAATCTCTTGTAGCCGGCCATTTTTTATCATTAACTATATATGCAGTACTAGAACCGGCTAAACAGGAGTCTGAAAAAAGAAAAAGTAAAACATTACAGTCTAGAAATGCTAAGGTTTCGGGCCAGGATGAGACAAAAGTTAAGGGTGGATTTCTCGAGAAAACGTTCAGCAGCTTTAAAGCAACTAAAGCTGAGGCTGCAACTCAGAAATCTGTTCTTGAGAAGCGAAGGACACTGGGTGCCGCTACTTGGAACTTTGATTCTAAGTTGTTCCAGAATGATCTCAAAAATGGTCTAATTGGTACGCCGGATATTTGGAGGCCGATCAATGCCATAGCTAGCGGCGTGTCATCCTCTGATTCACGGGTACGTAAACAATTCCTTCTTGATATTTACAACTATTTACTTTTATTTATTTATTTTTATCATAATAAACTTAAACCTGCATAATAAAAATGTAAATTATACAATTTTATACGTTTAAATTATACCAGTATAGGTAATTACTTAATTGACAACTGAAGACATTTTGATAACCGTATTCGTGTCACCAAGTTATTAAATATAATATGGATTTCAGTTAAGTTTCTACTAGATTACAAATTTGAATAATTAATGTAGATAGATATATAAATAATACAGCAGCTATATAATATTGGCTCTGAGTAATAAGTGCTCTGTTCCTGCGATTAGTAAAGTAATAGGAGCTTATTAAGGAAAGGGTGTCAGGGTACACGTTATCCCTGATGTTCCTGGCGTCCATGATTCAACAAATGATGATCGTTGATAATGTAATGTGGAGAGTCCACATTTAGCCTGAATTTGTTGATGGAGATGTTAATTTGTAGATGGGTTATAGAAGATACTTACATTTAGAATTAAGGTATTGTTCTTATGAGACCAATATACAAATATTATTATTTCATTATAAATATAATCATCTATTTAAATTAATTTATATAATATATTGAGTAATATAAATGTACAAAAATGAAGTGGAATTTATAGTCTCCCATTTTAAAGCTGGCTGGCATGAGGTAATATTAAATAAACTGTTCAAGGTTGAACAACTTATTTTGCGTATGTTTCCTTTTGCATAAGATTGTGCCAATTCTTTTTTGTTACTTTATTGTGGCTCTACCAAAAAACACAGACAACTCTGAACGACATCTTCTATGGTCTAGCGGTTTAGCACACCGCCTTACCTCCAATGGTCGCGAGTTCGACTCCTCGCACAGTATTTGCATTTATGAATATGATTGTTTGGGTGTTCGTTCAATGTATATTGTTTATGTATTTAAGTATTTTTATATACCTATGTATCAGTTGTTTAGTACATATAACACAAGTTCTACTTAGCTTGGGAGTATACAGCCCTGTATATATATCCTGGGCTTAAAAAACACAATTCTTTACCAATATGTACAATATTCCGTGGATAAAAAAAGAATCCATATGAAAAATGAGCCATTCTTTTATTAACAACGATCATATTATATAGAATGGTGAAAATGACAAATTTTGCCCAAACTCTAGCCTCTCTATAGGATTATTGTTAAAATGCTTAAATATCTATGTAGATCCGTCACTGAGCCTTGAATTCTTAGACCCTTTTGATCTACGTGTTTATCTGTATTTGAATAAAAATAAAGTATTGTATTACAATGATATCATCGTTCTCTCGAGTCTCTCGAGTTCTCTCGAGAATCTGCCGAGTCGTTTAGATAGTGACCAGAAACAAGTACAAATTGGAATGTTTTTTAATCTGTGTTCATGTGAATAGTAAGGTATTCATATATATTTTATTTGTCAGGGAAAAGTATCAGTGTTCTGCCCTTTTCAGGGCGAAACAATATGCTGAGCCACTAAACATTTTGTCATGCTGTGGCACATGATTTACTTTTTGTTTTTATTGTATTGCTATTTATATGAAGATATAAATAAATAATTCTTCTACCTATCTATATTAATTGATAATATAGTGTGTTACTAGAAATGGGATCTAAAGGACCCATGCCAGCTTGATATCCTCATGATCCCTCTTTGAAAAAATCATCGTAAATTCTTAACGAATTCGCCTTGATGGGCGAATTGCATCCTGGTTCTATCATGCTTCAATGGTTCCTCGTCATTAGTGCAGCCGGGTGCACCGTTCCATATTTATTTTTTATAAATAAAACTGATGTCCTCGTAGTGCTCTGGGATGTCCTGAATATTTTTAAAAGGCGGGCTTTTCATTTGTAAAATATTAAACCAAATTTAAATTTCAATACCCATTACTTTTAGTACGTATTAACTATTTCAACTCTATTATTGCCTATTGTTTTTAAACTGAATTGTCTAGGTCATACCAACTTTAAAACTTGCTTCTTTAAATTTCGTGTTGGCAACCTTATATTATTATCCTTCATGTGTTTACTCTGGATGTGATTATTATTCTTTAATTTCTAGTTAAATCTTGCAAAAGGTTGAATTATGTCATTTTATACGTATCCTAACAATTAACAGTGTATATCATTTTTGAAAGTGGAAGCACCATTCATTGGATCATTACCCATAAAAAAAACTAAGGAGATAATATAATACAATTGTGGGGGACTATTAGTATTTCAAGGGATCTAGATAACAATTTCAAAATCAAATCAAAACAAATCAAATTTATTTGCACTAAACATAGGTTTACATTGGTTGTTATTGTAATATAATGTCCCATTATGTTTTGCCTCATTAGGCATGCAAAATATATAAATTTTAAATATTATTTAATTATTAAATCAATTGTCATCAGAGAATTATAAATACATATTATTATTATTACATTATTATTAATTTAAAAACTCGTTTACGGAGTAAAAACATTTGTCGAGTAACCAACTATTTAATTTATATGTCAATCGTCCTCGTGGAAGTGTCTTTATATCATCTGGTATTTTATTATAAATTTTTATCGCCATATGGAAGACATTATTTTTGACCATACTTAATTTCGTTCCATGTATGTACAGCTTCGTTCCTACTCTCGATCTTTGACTTCTTTGGCTCATTTCTTTATTTTTAGGAAATATATCTGGATTTTGAATTACAAATAACACTATTTGTTTAATGTACATTCCAGTTAAGGTCATTAATCTATGTTTTTTAAATAGTGGTTTGCACGAGTCCCTATAGTGGAGTCCGCACATAGCCCTAATGCATTTTTTCTGAATTTTAAAGACTATCTGTATTTGTTCCATTTCCCCATAGCATCAGACCATACTGTAGTGTTGATGTGACATACCCGTAATACGCATTTAACGCTACTTCCAGTGATGCAACTTCTTTAAGACGTCGTAAGGCGAAAACGAAACGATTTAATTTATTACATACTTTATTAATATGTATCTCCCAATTAAAATTTTGATCCAACCGTATGGTAATGAATAATGGCCAAGGAATTTAATAGATAACACTTCTTCTATCTGTTTATCATTGAATTTAATATCTAATTTTAGAGGGATGGCTTTAGTGGTACGAAATTGCATATATTTTGTTTTCTCAAAATTGACAGTCATATTGTTTTCATTTAGCCATGCTACAATTGTCTTTATTGTATTATTAATTTCTAATTCGAAAGTTTCTTTATTATGTCCCTTAATTATAATTGTCGTGTCGTCAGCAAAAAGTATTGATTCATGCAGTGTACTATCTGGTAAGTCATTTATGTATATTGAAAATAATAATGGAGCTAAGATGCTGCCTTGAGGTACCCCATTTTCATTTTTCCTGTAAGCTGATTTGAATTTTATTTTATTTGTATTATTAATAATTTTTGTTATTTCTGTACATTGATATCTATCCTTTAAGTAAGTTTTGAACCATTCATTTGTCGTACCTCTGATTCCGTATTTGCATAATTTGTTCAACAATTTATCATGACTTACAAAATCGAAAGCCTTGCTCAAATCAAAAAATAGCACAACCACTGGAACACTCGTGTCTAAACCTCTTGTTACTGATTTGATCAGCTTAAATATTGCCAGAGTAGTCGATTTATTTTTCCTAAACCCGTTTTGCTCTGGTTTTATAACGTCAAATTTGTTTAGAAATTGGTCAATTCGTTTGTACATTGCTCGCTCAAAAATTTTAGAAAAAATAGGTAAAAGTGCTACAGGTCTGTAGTTATCTATTAATAATTTATCTCCCTTTTTGTGAAGTGGTTTAATAATTGAATATTTCAACCTCTCTGGAAATATACCTTGCGAAAAAGAAAGGTTGATTATGTGGCTTAATATACCTGATATGTATTTCGCGCTTTTCTTAACTATATCTGTTGTAACGTTATCGTAACCTGGTGATTTAGAATTTTTCAGTGCCATAATTATCTGAAAAATTTCATCCGGTATTGTTGGTCTTAAAAAGATGCTTGGTAGTATGCTATCGAACTTTATAACATTGGAGAAATTTTGTGTTTTGCCAGCTGTTTTTTATGAATGAGTTATATCATGTTTTACTTACCTATAGGCAAGAGTAATACGATAGTCACTGCCCGTCAAACAGCAAGGCAATACGAAGGTTACAGGAAGTCGATTGATGCTGGTTTGGTATTCTATAAAATTCTTATGAATGGTATACGACTAATACAATCATTATGCATGTTCTTTTTTCTCTATTGTATCAATGATGAATGCTAAATGCAAATTATACTCATTTGATAGATGTAATATAAATTGTACAATCCGGATAAGACGTATTTTTAAACTAATACGGTGTCATCAAATACACAACTTGATACACATCGACCTGCGAACTTGTTAAATGGATAATAGGTATTTGTTTATTAACATTTATCGTCAACATTTAACGCGCAATCTAATTAGATATACTAATTAACAAAGCAATTATTTAATAGTTTGTTACATCATACTAATTATACCAAGATATTTGCTTAGCAAGAAACATTTCGTACATACCTACCTAACAAGATTTCGATTCTTTAGTGGTAACTTGCTGTTGTCTAATTTTAAACTATTTGTGAATATTTTTTTTAAACAAATCAGTACATGTTTTAAACTTCATTTTAATGACATTTATTAATATCATATACATATATTTCCACTACTATAATATTTGCTGGGATATTCGGAAGTGTTAAGTGTCTGTACTACATATATAGTTTTTACAAGGGACCTACCTTATACTATAGACAGAATGAACCAACTGTCATTAGCGTCTATTTTTATTTATAGATATAACCTAATTGTAGTAATAATGTCCTGGAAAACATGATTATGAAATAAAGAGATATCTGCAGATATATACAGGTGTATTTTGTACCAATTTATCACAGGTTACAGAATATTACGTAATAAAATAATTTTTATGGGTTACTGCCTATAATATAAAAAGAAATTTGATAGTAAAATATGACTAATAATAATGTCATAAGTAGGCCACAAAGTAAACAGCTGAGTTTTGTGTCACGACTTAATTGGTCATAATTTGTTTTTATAGTCTGTACTTGTATGAGATAATGATGATGATATTTCTATAAAAATCTCAAGTATCGAATATGCGTTCTATTTTAAACGCACGTGTCGATAATTATTACGTACGTACCAGTAAACACTATTAATTTATTTTATTACCTAGCGGCCTGTTCTAAATTTTCTCATGGCCTCAGTGTATCCACTAATTTTGGCGACCATAGATCAGCGTGTAATTATTTCATTATTATCAAAAGGCAAAAGACGAACATTTGAAGCAAGTATGTATTTTTAATAATTTTTAATTTTTCCGTTGTAATATAGCTATAATATTAATTTACTACTGTGTACGATCGAAACTGAGCATAACAACCGAAAAGGAAACTTTTTCTAAAGTACTTAAGTACTTCCCTTTTAATAAAAAAGTCTAAATCTCCTATACATTTTTTTATCTTCTTTTAAAATATCGAGATTGTAAATATATATATATATACCATTCTATGCCATGCGATTTTGCCCATGGTCTACTATTTTGAATTTACCACATTGCCCGCGCTGGTACTATCAATGAATTCTGTCAATCTGTTGTCAAGAAACCTTGAGTTTCGTGCTAATTTGGCCGAAAACCGAAAACAGATTAGACTTATTTCAATGACCATAATATTTCGATCTTGTATTATAGGTAATTAAATAAATACATTTGATATATATTGTTCTTTTGTGTGCTGTTCGAAAAACACAATCTAATTGAAATACTTTCATTATATACAATTGTACCTAATACCTACAGCTATTATATTCAGAGCTATGTGTAATGTTATTTACTGAATTTATGGTATTTGTATAATGTATAATAAGAAAGTACAGAAACTGACAAAATCAGTAACAGTGTAAATTGCAGCAATCATAGAGTATTTACGATTGTCTGTAAGAGTTGAATTTCATATCGGTTTCTGTACATTAAAGGCAATTAATTTGAGTAATTCTACCACCATAAATTTTACTATTGTATTGCGTTAAACTGACTTTTTATATTTTTAGTGTAATTTGTAGCAAAATGTTTTTTGAATATACATTCTAAATAGGTAATCATCCTTCTATAATGTCTGTAACATATTTTTTTATTAGTTATTCACTTATGTCATGACGCGTAATACAAAAATAAGGCACGAATGCGAACAAAATCTTAAATCTATGGACGAGTACAATAAAATGGTTTTGACCTCGACCGATGCTGCTTCCAGGCGGCATCTATATAACAAATAACTACCTGCTTATTTACAGCATGACGTAATGATTAGGTACAAGAATATAATCATTATTCAAAGATCAATTATTATTCTTTAGTGTAGATAATGATATTTTGTACACAAACTCTTTTCAGATATCTTTACTGTATTTTTTTTAACATGTTCGTTTATGTTATAATAATAATAATAATAATAATAATTTATTCAGCATCATAATACAGAGTAAAAAAAACTTAAACACTAATATTTCGCTATGAGCTGAAAGAGCCTCCACTCAGCTGGTGCTGCAGCGTATCACTACAGCGCTGATTTTCAGTGGAGCCACTTGAAAAAAAGAAGTAGCATTCTTGATGAATTTAAATATCTAAAATAAAGAATGAGTTAAATGGATCAATTATAACTATGTGTGATAAAGAGAAGAAAATATATAAGCATAAAATTTCGTTCGTCGTTCGTCTTGATTGAAAATTTTTTGTGTAATATTGTATAGCTTGAATATAATATAATATAAGTTTCTTTATAGTCTGGTTATATCTACGTAAGTACTTGAGATATGATAACAATTGTGTATTAGTCTTATTAATATAATCTGCAGGGGGAAAGGGGATTGTTAGTATTGTGGACTGATAATCTTATTGCTAGATATACCATCAGGTCAGGTTGACATCCATACGGTTCCCCCTGGAAACCATCGTGATAATTTCTTGTTGCATTTATCACGATGGGCTAACTGGCCTGACCTCATGCTCATCTTATCATCCTCCATTGGCCCAACAGCGTAAACCATTAGCGCAGGCGGGTGAACCATTCCATTATCATCCATACAAAAAAAATATATAATCTGCAATTCCTCACCCGCCTATATATGTATATGTTTATATGTTAAAAACTTTAAAGAAATAACACAATTATGTAAACAGCCAGTATGCAACTATATTTTATTGTACTAAATCTGTAGGTTGTAGTAGTAGTGTAGGTTTTAAAATATTACTAAGGTTATATGTGTTATGAGTTTTAGTCTTTCTATTGATTACAAGGTCAATTTGTATTATTGCTCGATTATTATTGATTCGATTGATTATTACAAATTAATATTTTATATAAGAACAAATCTGTTTAAAAAAAAATATTGTCTTATATTAACAGAGAGAAAACAAAAAGGGCCAGTTGGAAGTGACGTTGCTGTATACAGGCAGTGAAGATGGATTTAATGACACTGTACAACTGACCATTAACCGCCTGCGAACCAGTGTGCAGACCATGCACGAGCAAGAAGAATTCCGAGGTAAATAGTAATATTTTTAAAATAATCATTATGCAAACGCCGAATTGTGCTACATTATTAAAATATTAAAAATAATTTATTTATTTAATATATATGGTATAGCATAACTGCTCTAGATTTAGAAGAAGAGCTGAATATAGTTGTAAGGATAAAGACTGTCAGTGGATAAAGGTTAAAAATAGATTGAAATAGGGAAGTCGATTGAATTAGTCAATCCTTATTCTTCTACACTAAAATTATAAACAGGAAAAGCGTGGAATAATAAAATGTCAAAACAAATTGTTGGAATTGAAAAAGTTGATTCTTATATAATAGAATTTCTATTAATCAATTTGGTTTTCACAAATGGATTATAGTCTAGTTTATTGTAGGTCTACATTCCTCTTTATTTATTTATTTATTTTATAACATACAAATATTGAATCGGCGAACCTGTAGTTATGTTATGTAGTCCACCTAAGAATTGTCAGATGATTCATAACTATTACAGATCAGCAAGTAGAGTAGATTTGTAGATTTTACATATAAGAGCCTGTATAGTATAATAGACCCAGACGAATGAAGATATTTTAGTTTGATTTCATAAAAACATTCTAGGTTAAATGAATATTACATAAAATGAAACCAAATAAGAATTTTAAATCTAATACATTACTCTATGCAGTGTTTATTTTATTTCAATCGGTTTACAATCAAAGATGTTATATGGGGATGAAGTCGCAGTGTCTGCTAGTCAGTAATGAATAGGTACAATTATTTTGATGGCCGGTAGGTGATTGTTATTATAGTATTTTTTAACAGGTGGGTAGTTATTTTCGGGTATTCCCAGCACTTAAAAATAAATTTATATTTATGACTTATATAAAGAATAATAAATAACTAAAAGCGAGCCTCAGTCGCAATATATTAGGGTTGGGATTTATGGCGTAGAAGAGGAATCAGCGATAAAGTTGCTAGCCGTCCGCTTGATTTACTCGGGATCCATTGAATAAGATATTACTTGTACCTATCAAGATTTCATCACTAGTATTTATCTATCTATTCATCTTCATTCATATCGTTTACGGGATTGGCATTGGTATTTATAACTAGGTAGAGTTGATGCGATAAGAATACTACTATTCTATTAATGTGCATTGTAGATATGTACACTTGTCACATATACACATGTTCGTTTATATGTTAGTGCACATAACTAACGATGTGGTGTATTCAAAGGTACGAACTGCGCATTTTAACTTAGCACTAAGAAATATGCACGTTGAAGTACTTAGGTACACACTTAAATGTTTACAAAGATACAAAAAGTAGAGTCGGATAGTATTAAATGGATAATTACCTATGATATATGCTACTACTGACTCATGGTTAGTATTAAATAGGTAGCTATTTTGACGGCGTAGTTTCCATTTTTTATGACATTTTATGCTATATTACCAAAATTAAACGTCAATATTGTGTTAATATTTACGTTATGTTAAATTGTACAACACTATGACTTTGCTAACATGAATCATCATTTGGTTTTAGTATCCACTAAAGTCACGTTTTTTAATGCAATGTCATTAAAGAAGTTTCATGATAATCGAAATAAACGCTGCTTTATTATTTGGAATAATCTTAAAAGCGTAATCAAGAAATATGGTACTATGTATATCTAAACACTTTAGCAATGTATTTACCTACCTTGCTTTGCATTGGCAACATTTTTTATTAAAATATAATTTCTTTGCCAATTATTAACAATTTTAATAATAATAAGGTGGAATAATTTTGTTAACATAATGGTGGTGTAATACCAATTTAAGGTGTATTTCACCTTACACCACCCACCAGATTTCATGAACTAATTTATTAATAAAATAATAAGTGGCGTTGCATAAATGCTTTATTTATTATTGTTGATATATAATGTACTTGCTTCGCACGGTCTTGTCACGGTTTGTCACGGTCGCTACAAGTATAATAATAAAATTCTAATTTTGTTATTAAATGGTATAAATTAGATTTTTTACGTTTAAACTTATCAAGTTGAATGATTAATAATATATTAATATTTGATAATAAGGATATTATTATCTACAATTATTTAATGGATGTGGATTACAATATCCATTGACATTTGTTACTTCGATGTCACAAATTATGTAACCGCTAATAGCAACACTCATTGTTAGCATTAAAAATTACACATACTATAGTTCATTGGCGCAATATGCTCTTCGCTTATTAAAGAGGAGAGAGTTGTCTCCGAGGCATTGAATGCGCGTTGAATCATAACAGTATCTTTACTCAATGCTATGATGCCATATGCAGTAGGTATTATGACAATTTGAACACTGTTTTTTACTTAGATTGTTTTGCATAGTAGTTGTTGGTATATTTTGTATTATTTTTTTGAGTTATCTATTCATAAACAAATAGATTGAACAATAATTATGTTTCAATGAACATATAATAATTGAATATAATTGATGGAAGGCGTGAACCGTACCTATTTTAAATATTACGTATTATGGAAAATACAGAATCAATTTATTTAGTTCTACTATGTAACAGCTTAAACTAGATATGTACCTACTCGTACGAAACAACTGAACGAATTAGAATTTTTTCAATATTCTAAAATTATTTTAAATCTAAATAATCTATACATATAAATAAAATTGGAGTAAAAGTAGATAAGGAGTAACTTCAACTACTTTTATTTTTGAAAATGAAATTTAATTTTCACGCGGACAAAGTCCCGGCGAACAGCTAGTATATATACCTATATATTCTGATGAAAATTTTTGATTAAAGTTAAAACCAATTTTACTGTATCAGAACCTACTTTCAACGTCCCTAAATGACTGCTATAAGTCTATAGAAACGATATTAATTTCCTTAAATAATAGTTAATGTTAATTACTTTAAATAAGTTAGTATTATAAGAGTTACAAAGTTTTGAGGGCAATAACTTTGTATAAAGTACTTAGTACCTTTGGCAGTTTCTTAACTTCATTAGCGCATTTTTATATATCTACTACACAAACATTGGACTGTATATATGTGTTACTGTTACCATTACTGTTATAACAAAGATCTATGCTCAGGTTACTTTTCAGAGGCGGATAAAAACGAAAGCCATTCGCTTTTGTTTATACTGCGTAATATTGTCTTATTTGTTTAAGAATTTCATGTATCAAACACGTAATTCTTGCTTCATGCACTTTTATATATCATTTCATGTATATACAGTACACACATTTCTAAGACTGGTGACTTGTCTTTTTTAGATAGCACACTATCTGATCATTATAAGTTATTCTTCCCCTCTACGTTCATCCTTCCTGTTTTTTATCCTACCCTATTTCGTAATAATGAAATTACTTCATATAGAATAAATAAAACACAAAAAAATTAACTCGATTACATTTTGTGTTACATTATAAGGTAATGTAACACAAAAGTGATGGGTGGTAGTGGGTTATTATATTATTCGTGGGTTATCTCGGAATTGCAGTTTTTTGAAGACTAATTAAATTATTATCAATGCTGATTAGTCACATTTCCTTGGAAGTTTAAAAGAAAAAAAAATAGGGTCTCTAATGTATTACGTAACGAAGTTTACATAGAAAATTTATTCTGATATTATTATTCTCTAATTTTATTCTGATTTCACATCATGAGTTACAATTGAAATATATCATGCGAAGGGCTTGTGTTTGCTACGATATACCTTAATTGATTTTTTTTATATCATGGTGATTACAGATATATGTCGGCCTCGGTGGTCTAGCGGTTTAGCATACCGCTTTATTTCCGCTGGTCGCGGGTACTATTCTTCGCACGGTGCAAACATTTGTATTCATGAGCATGACTGTTTGTATCGGTCACGGTGTTTTCTATGTATATCACGTATGTATTTACAAAAAAAAACTATGTATTTATATCAGTTGTCTAGTACCGATATCACAAGCTCTGCTTACCGTGGGACTAGATGGCGCTTTGTTAATAGTCCCGGGTTATTTATTTATTATTATACATTCCTACATCTTCTTTCTTTTATTCATAAGGTTTTATAAATATGGAATTTATAATTAAGAAGTCTTAGTGATTAAACTGCATAAGTTACAAAACTTTATGTTATGTTGTTATACAACATAACCAGCTTATTCTTATAATTCTGTTATAATTACACGTAGCGTTTTAACATTTATATTCGGAACCATAAAATCAATTAAATTAATAAATGTTTGGCAATTAAAATGGCCACGAATGTTAGTGGATGAGGGTTCCGACTGTCACTGATAATCTCTTCTCATCTTTATTAATGTAATAACAAATATTAATTGTGGCGTCTGACATACTAAATTTGATGCTTTAATTACCTTTTAAATAACCCTTTTCAGGAATTTAGACGTTCATATTGGTATTTACAATAATTGGCCTATGAGTTTTTTACCGTTATTATCCTCATCCCTGATAATTGTAGGAAGGATAATGTAGTATTACCCGTGGAAAGTAATTTTTAGTTGAGATACTAAATATAGTACAAACTAGGTCACCATGAACTGTTATAGATATAATTTTGGATATTATATCGATTCATAACCAGGACTAGGTGGCGACGCCCTAATAATGTCAATTTATGATCGATCGAGGCTGGCTGATCTGCTTAAATTGACTACTTAAAATGCTGACAGCCATTGTGCTCTATAATATCTATCACTTGTAAGGAGTGACAAATATTTTGGAGGTATTTTAATACCCTCCTCGTTTAGAATTTATGTTAACTTTAGTTACTTGAAAGAAAGAAAGAAAATAGTTTATTTGGTACATAACAGTAATAAAAATAAATTTTAAATTACATACTGGTTTATATCAATTAGATAGTACGAAATAGGTCTCCGCTCAGCATATGTCGTGACGGGGTGCCACGACGCTGGATACTGCGGATACCTTCAATACATATAATAATAATAATAGACTTTATAAAAATAAATAAAAGAGTAGAACATTCAGTTTATTGTTATAAACAGCTCGTAATTTATACAAAGTTGTATATCGAATAATTAATATAGTTATCTTTGTCATTCCATATTTAGTTATAATAAAGTCGTTTATGTAGAAGTCCTGGAAAAATACAGTACATATTCAATAAATAAGATCAGGTAAACTAAAATGCAAATTCAAAGCAAAGTAAAATATAAATGCAAAATAGAATCTCTCTCTCATGTAAAATAGAAAATGCAATATAATACTTGACAACCATTTGTATTTGTTGTTAAGTATAGAGTAATGCGGTCTAATATGTATATGCAGAAGTTTCAATTAATTTACATTTTTGCAATAGACCTGACGAAAACAATTGTAATTTTTTTAGTAACTCTCTAGTAAACATTGTCAACAAATGTGATTATGAAATGTTTTTTATTCATATCTCAGGACAATTCACACAGACGCATCTAGTCCCAAGTAAAGGAGAGCTTGTGTTATAGGTACTAGATAACTGATATAGATATACATGCATATATTTTTTATTTGTAAATACAAAATATATGCATGTATATATATATTAAATAATATACATAGAAAACACCCAAACCGATGCAAACAATCATACTCATGTTTGCACCATGCGAGGAATCGAACCCGCGATCATCAGGAGCAAAGCGGTATGCTAAATCATTAGAGCTCCGAAACCGAGGCGAGGACGCAAGATGCGCTTAATCTCGTCCCCTGCCACGTTGGATTAAAATTTGAATAATTCTATTTAATATTTAGGTACATTTTTAATTATATAACTCGTAGTAAATTGGGTGGTCTTACTATCCTCTCTGAGTTTACTCTATTTAGTGTAGGTACTTTCTTAATCTAATAAATAACATTTATAATTTCAGCGCCGCTGTATTTAAAAGCTACAATCCTTGAAGCAAACAAAGCGGAGTGCTACTGGAAGAGTAGTCGATTTGAACCAACAATATCAGCAAGGTGGGACCCCAAAACCGCAACTGTGAAATTGAATGTATTCAAAGCTAATTTAGATAAAGTTAGCATCTATATTAGTCTTGGATGTAAATTGAAGATGGGAAAAAAAGAAATATTGGGAAAAGCAACAATAGACTCGGAATCTCCATACGCAGATAGTTGGAAGGAATGTCTTATGAAGCCAGGTATTCCAAAAACATTTTGGGTTAACTTCGATTAAAATATAAACATAATTGGATTTCTTGATAAATAAATTATGAGTTACTAGTTGTACCTTTTAATTTATTTATCTTTGGAATTAGAATTTAAACTTAAGGATTTTACATTTTCGTTTTACAAATTTTTTGATTCCGTATACGAATTACGTGTGCGAAATGTTATTTAGTTTTCGATAGTTTCTGATAAATGTGACTGACATTGTCTAATAAGTAATTAATAATTTGATCATAATATGTTTTTATACGATCAAATTTTTATAATCAAGAATTTAAAAAACAATATTATTTAAGATATATATCTCGACGAGCACCTGAGTTTTTATAACTAATATATTATAGATATATAGTGAAATATATTCTATAGCAGATTATATGGAGGTATTTTATTATCTGTAATCAGAACTAACAGAGAATGAAATACAGGTGATGTAAGTGTGAAGTATTCCATATATTCACTAGAGAGATTGAATGGAAGAGTTTCGAGGCCCAGTGGTTTTCTTTATAGATACAAAGGTCAAACTGGTTAAGTCCAAAAAAAGAGTGTCAATTTATATTTGTAACTAATAATCTGGTTATAGAAACAACGATAATATACCAAATTAATATGAGCGGAATATACCTTCTACGTTGTATTAAAACCGAACAAGTATAAGTAAGTACTTCTCTGTACTATGATATTCATAGTACAGAGAAGTACTACCACCTAGCGACATATGGGCATGTTAAGTGTTGTAGTCACCACGAAATCGATAATTGACAATTCCTTCGACATCTCCATTTGGAATCACAGTGTAAAGGTATAATATTATAGTTCAGTCACAGGAAATATATCGCAAACAGTTCGATTGTATCGTAATATCGCTTGTATGACGTCAGGTTGTGTGAAATCTTCCTATATATTTTTGGTTGTAAGATGCTATTAAATATGTAATATAATTTAATATCACTATGTATTTTTGTATAAATATATTTATATAATATTGTATGTGTTTTTAAGTAATATACTTCCTTTAATTAATTGACAAAAATATAAGTATCTTTATCACTTTTTATCCACTCTAACGAATTACATTATAATATTAATAACTGCTTGAAAGATTTACAAATTGTCGCTATTACGGAGAGGTAAGATTTATTCGGCATTAAAATCCACTTCTCTTCTCCTTACGGGGGGATATTCTAAATTAACCGCTGTCGTAAAACTTATAATACCTGCTTAGAAGTTTGAAAATGTATGTTGCGTCGAAACATTTTCTGATATGAAATGTTGTGAAGACTAAGTTAAAGGTATACCAAGAATATTAAGTAAATGCATACTTTAACCTTTAAATTCTTATTTCAGATTATAATTTGATTTTTATACTATTTACATAATTTAGTTGTCGATTAATTTGGTTTAGTACAGCACCTTGCGATGGTCGAAGCTTCGATTTCTCTCGCACGAGTAATTATATTAATTAATACAAAAGATTGTATTAATAAGTATGATTGTTTGTATGGATGTTTTCTGTGTATATTACGTATGTATCTACAATAAAATAATCTAATTATTTTTATCTCTACTCTTCTATCTAACTCCAAACATAAACTCTGTTTGGAGTTAGATGATCCTCTAGAATTATCCTATGTCATTGAAAAAATATTTAAAACATTAAAATAATAGTGCATATAATATATAAATATGAGACTTTTTTTCTGCTGACTGATTTAGTATGCCAATATTATAATATTCATCTATCTACACTGACAGAAAACGTCTAACTTCGAAAAAAAAACTCTTAATAATATTAAGTAATAAATAAATAGGTGTCTAAATAAAATTGTTTACTGTGTACTGTTTAAGGCTTTTAAGGTTACATATATTCAGCACAGTATCTACCATAAAATATTATAAATTGCTATGATAAAATTATAATATATAATATGTATTTTTACCGTCAACGCCGTAATAAAACAGCTCAAGTATAGCAATTTTACTCTGGATTTGAGTTACCTATTTTTTCAATTCAGTATCTAGACACTACACGGTTGGTGTATAGAAATGAAAGAGCTACCTAAGGATACTTAATTAAGGGCGAGGAGATTCAAGGGGTCGCTTTCCATTAATGTTGGTAATGTCATCCGAAATCTCTCTTATATATCTACGCAATACGCCATTTATATCGCTAAAATCTGTTTTATATTGAATTACCATCAATTTATCTCTTCGACATAAGGTAGTGTCGATTAGATGGTACAGTATAGCTCAAAGTAATATCTGACTATTGTGGGTTATAAAAGAGTTCGATTATATTAAGCTTAATTATATTTATAACATTTTACAGAACTACAATTATGAACATATGTCATTGTTATATAAGCACATTAATTGTATTTATTTATATAAACTGGTGGTCGTCCAGTGCTATAATAACCATAATTAATTTTAACTAAGTATAAGTTTGAACATTATTAAGGTTTTATTATCACAGGCACTGCCAGGCCAACAGACAATAAACGAAAGATATGTCAAATACATGGTAGTGTGTTTAATGTTTTTATTGATTTATTATATTGTTTATGCATAATTTTAAAAAATTCAATTTTTTACTTTTTGGGATCACTTTAAAGGAATAAGTCATTTTTTGCGAATAAAATCAGTTAATTTGTTATTGTAAAATAAAAGCCATTAAGAAAAACTTTCCAGCGTTCCATCGTAAATTATATATATAGAAATAGTATTTAAAATTTCAAAACAATCGTTGCAGTAGTTTTGAAATTATGAGTGACCACCGACTTTGAAAATATGAGTTGTAGGAAAAACGTTTCAAAGTTTTGAACATTAAAAAAATCGATATGAAAGGTACATAAGCGAGTTCTATCAGCTTACCTCACACTGAACACGACACAAGACAAAACATTTTTGAGATATTGTGCATTACACCTTATTCCATTACCTACATAGTAGTGTAGCTGTACACAAGAACAGTGAAACCTTAGACGTTCATTCATCGAGACTAAAAGGAAACAATTAATTATAAGTAGATATCACATTATAATAGAGTTTGGAACTGAGTATACCTATCACATTAACACAATATATTATACAAAATATATTGTTAGTAGAAGACACATGAAATACCTACATCGATCGGATCTTCATTATCACTGACTTCATTCTTCTTGACTGTTGATTTTTTTTATAGCACAGTGGACAAACGAGCAGGCGGCTCACCTGATGGTAAGTGATTACCGCCGCCTATGGGCACCCGCAACACCAGAGGAATTGCAAGTGCGTTATTGGTCTTTTAAAAAGCAATAAGCGCTTTTCTTTTAATATCGTATCGGTTTTTTTTTAACATAGGAATGCTAATAGAAAAATCAAAAACGCTTGTTTTTTTTTAATTTGCAAAATTAATTAGTATTTCTATAGTTGTTTAAAGTAAATGCACTGTAAAATTGTGACTGAAATAAGTATTTTCGTGGTTATTATTTTATCGGAACCATTCAAATGGTATTAAAAAAGGCACAAAATGACAAGACAATATTAATTAAGCTAAAGGATAAGTCGTCTCAATGTTTAATAAAGTGAGGAGCTTCTGTCTTAATATCGCCAGCGCTTTGATTAAACTGACAATTGTTGAATTAATTACTTTGATTCAATTACGATCTGCGGTTCTATTTGCTAGGAAATTTCTATCAATGTAGATAAATACGTAACCACCAAAATTGATTTATAAAATAGAAACATAGGTACGAATGTATTTTTATTGTTAATATATTTTTATATCACGTAGTCACATTCACGTCCTTTTTGGGTGTTTCGTTTCTTACCAAGTGACCATTCCAGATGGGGACAATTCGTAATCACGTTACGTGACCAGAAATTTAAGATTATAAGAAAATATAATAAATAAATACGTATTCAATGTTATAGTATTCAATTCAATATTTCAAGGATCTGATTAGAATTCTATTCCTGTAAATAATAAAATAAAAATACATGATTTCTAACTACCAAAGTACATAAAAAATATAATAAAGTTTTTATTTGAGACAAATAACGAAAATTAACCACGTACGTATTTAATAGTATTTATACTAGTTATATTGAAAATTTGTAACATAAATGCTTACATATATACATATGGAAAATCATTTCAATAGGCAAATCAAAAGACTAAATCATGTTCATTAAAAAGATTGTCATTGAAGAAGCTCGCATAGACATGGAGCATTGTACATGTTGGGAGGGCTTTTGACTATTAGGTATATTTAGTTACGCAAGTCAAAAGAGATTTCTATAGATGTGTAGATGGGTGTATCTAAAATCAATAATTGTGGATTTGTGAGTAGCATCGCTAAGTCTCTTTCAAACAAAGACTTAGTCACTAGCGAGTATCCAGCGAGTGACTGGGTCTTTGTTTGAAGTCACGTATTTTCTTGATAAAGAAAAGTTATCAGCTTTCTATTTGCGTTGGTATGAGGAATATTACATTCGTAACGAGAAATAAAAAAAATAATCCATGAACTTTAACATTAATTCTTACTTTAATTTAGTTATTTTTTTAAAAATTTAGTTATTTCTTTATTTATTAATTTATCATAAAACATTGTTTTAACAAAAATCAATACTTCAAATCGCTGTAAAACATGGTTCTGTGAACATTTGCTATGTGTATACACACAGGAGCTAGATTGTATTATAAAAATTTTACTTCATGTCAATGTTACATAATATCGAAATTACCAAGGTGAAATCCCAACAGTTAGAATACATTATGTAGATGCTGGTCAGTCAACAGTCTCTTCTGGTTTTTTATATTTACCCATAAATAATATAATGTTTTCGTATACGAAAACGTATTTCATGACGAACGCTGACTTCTTAAGATGTATCTCTTCAAGTCGTAGAATTCTTGTTTTGTAGAATAAGAGAGCCAGTGTAATCCATTGATCTCCTTGTGTCTGTAGGTATACAAAGTGATTTGTACACCTGCTACACACACATATACACACATCTAGTTTGTAATTATTAAGTTCAATTTTTACTATGGGTATCTTGATGTCTACAATTTTGCTTGTATACAGTTATTCTACGTATCATATTTATAGATAAGTATTCTGTACATTAACTTGATTCAGCTTAATTGTTATTCTCCTGTGCAGAGTAACGAAGGAAGAAAATAGAGAAAACTTCTTTGTGGAATAATATATTTAATACCTACTAGCCGCGTTAAAGTTCAGTACATAAATTTCAATATAAAATATAGCCTATGTATTATTCTGATGCATAAGTGTTACTGTAGAGTTTTATCAAAATCCATTCAGTAGTTTTTTTATTTTATTTTATTTTATTTATTTATTCATTTATTTCAGGCAACTAGGCCCATATTATAAATACCTTATAGACTAACATACATTTTTTTTTTTTTTTTTTATTATAAATACCTTATAGACTAACATACATATAATATAATATTTAAACAAACCAATAAGACACACACAATATATGCAAAATGTTATGTTTATTTCAACACCTTTGTAAAATATTGTTTATATATATCATGATCATAATAAAAGTACATGTATTGGGAAGAAACTGGCTTCTGACATACGGCTAATGCTAGTTCAGAAGCCAGGACTACCATAAATACTGGATTGATATTGTCTGGAATGTGTACCTATATTGTAGCGATCCTTCTGAATTTAATAAAGATTATTATTATTATTATTATTATTATACATATAATATAATATTTAAAAACCAATACAACTATATTGTCGGCCAGTAGTACCGTCAATCTGCCATGAAGGTGGGTCCTCTTTCAGAAAGTCGGTGGGGACCAGGGCCACAAACGCTTTGAAACTCGCGTTGTGACTCGACTTCAGCTGCGTCACCCTCAATGTCAGGTTACTCTTGGTACGAATATAATCGACAATGTCCTGCTCCTTAGTGGCGTAATGTAGACGGGACAGGTACATTGTCGTGGTCGGTGTAGCAGCAACGCAGCTTTACGGGAAAGAGTAACAAATATCCATACTTACAAACATCCGCGTTTATAATATTACTAGCTGTACCGGCAAACGTTGTTTTGCCTTAAAATAAAAAAAAAAAATTAGGGATGGACTACCCCTAACATTTAGGGGGATGAAAAATAGATGTTGGCCGATTCTCAGACCTACACAAAATTTCATGAGAATCGGTCAAGCCGTTTCGGAGGAGTATGGGAACGAAAACTGTGATACGATTAAGATTAAGAAAATATTCCAAAACATCTTAAAAATTACTTCATATTTTTTTTATATCTCAAGGTGTCAAGGTGTTGGTGGCAGCTGGAATTGAGATTTGCATACGCTATCTACTATTTATCCCAGACGATCAGTATGCCCAGTTTACGAATCAAACGAAATAACTACCGGTAACAGCGAATTTAAAAATATGAACTATACATTAGTTTTTAGTTTTTGTGCAAATTTTATGTATAATCTATACATATAAATACAACTGGAGTGTCTGTTTGTGATATTGAAATAACATTTTTTACAATTTTTGTCTGTCTGTCTGTTTGTTCCGGCTAATCTCTGACATGGCTGGACCGATTTGGACGGGAATTTTTTAGCAGGTAGTTGATGTAATGAGGCTACTTTTACTACTTTTTTTAGAAAATAAAGTTAAATTCGAAGTCGCGGGTACAGCTATTCTCTTATATAGTACAAAGTTTATTTATACAATCTTTCAATATATCATCAATATTCAATAATTATCTACAATAGCTTTATTCAACCTTTTCTGTCTAATCCACTACCTAGTAGAGACCTAACTAAAATTATAGGCGTTAATTTTTCTCTGTATTAATAATAAAATTCATTTGCGTTGCATCGTCAGTTCGGTGAAAACTTATTAATATGATATATCTGTGTTCCGAATGTCATTCAAATCCATCCATATTTATATTATAATCGAGGAAGTATTTGCCAATTATATAATTCATTACATTGATTAGGTACACTTCTTTCTTCTCATAGAAGGTATACAAAAACAGGAATTTATGTTGCAAAGTCTTGTGCCTGTTAGTTCGTGATGACGAAATTTTAGGTTGGTTAAACATACCATTATTCCATAGTGACGACATAAGCAGCGGCTTGATTACGTAACGTAGTTGCTAACTAACAATTATCAACTGAAACAGATTTATATTGAAAGTTTTCTGATAATTAATATTTTCGTAGTGGCATTTTCAAGACAGTTACAAGCAAAGTTCAAGTAGTACCTATCTAACAAAATTACTTCTCTCCAGAAAATATTTTATCGCATTATTACCATCACTCTATTCAACTTGTTGAACAAGCAATACTTATTGCTATAAGATTCATTTATCTATACCTATTAATATTATAAAGCGACAGCGACAGAGCTGATTTTGTTATGAAGAAGTACCTACATAAGTTTACGAGCACTGCACAGATTTGGCAAATTCTTTTACTGTTTTAGAGGTACATTATTCCCATGTAATATAAATTTATATACTATGTTAATGTATAAACATACTAACAAAGTTATGAACACATGTGTTTCAATATTTTTAAATTGGCAAACGTTTTCAACATTTACAATATCATTCTACATACTAATACAGAATGATATGTATTTACTTTTTTTACCACTATACATATAAAACTAGATATATATTGAACGATTTCCAAGTCAATCAGTTGTGACAAGATCGCAGACGAAACACAGACTTACGTATAAATGATCAGCAAATAGAAATAGAGGATATCTATAAATAATGAAATCAAATCGACAGTTTTAGTTTATACTTTTCGGACAGAAAGAGAAACGTAATTTATTTGTATTGACATTTTCAGAAATATGTCTATTATTTCACTTCCCATTAAATATTCGACAATAATAAATATATTTCTAAACGGATAAATAACTTTTTAATTAATTTCAGTTTATCGGATTTTCTTCAACTAATTGACATGAAAAGAGCTGTCTGTCACAAAGTGACTTTAGTAAACAGGACTTTTCCAAATCGAAAAATCATTATACATTTAGATAGGCATTTAAGTATTACTATAGTGCAGCTAAACTCAGAGTGTGAGTAAGTATATTTAATAATTAATAACAATAAGGTTTAATACAAAAGACGTCAAGTTTACGATGTCTTTAGTAGGGATTTTCTGTAATTAGTATTAATGGTTTATATTTAAGTTATATTCATTCATATATTTAAAGTTCATTTTGCAGATTTGAAACAGTTTGCATAAATAAGTAGGTACAGAATATAGTGATATATGAAATATGTTTTGTTAAGTGGAGAAAAATTGGTACACTGAAATTTATCTCTATTGGTAAAAATTACCGAAATATCAGAGCAACACATCTATAACACCACTGGCATTTTGTCTGTTATTCTGTACGTCTGTATGTCTGTTATTATGTTTTTCGTTGCTTAAATCTATATCATAAAACGATTTTTTTGGAATTATTATCTGTCTTTATTCAAGATATAGAATAGTTCTTTATCTAATATTCGCATTTCCTGGAAATGAGGATATTGGATAAATGTACTCCGTATACTATAAAGAATTGTAAACGCACAATTTTTTTTTTTAAAATAATAGTAGAATAATCTATTACTGAATGAGCCCGTCACCTACTTCTCAGAAGCTGTATAAATATTTGACGATTTAGGGTCATTGAGCCGTCCACAGCACGCGGCATTATAATGCTTGAGATTATATCATTTATGTTGTAAAAATACTGAAAATAGGCAAAATAGTCTACTTTTGGTAAAATTACTTGTTGGTATTTCGTTTTTATGTGATAGGTACATTTGGAAATCCTTTCGATTTGTGTTTTTTATTGTACACAAATTATGTAGTTGATTATGAAACAAAATTTTTGGAGAACGTCATACAAATTGGGTGGTCTCGTGGTTGTTTTAATATCAAAAGTTCAAAGGCTTTACGACTCTACGTCATATTAAAAAGAAAGTACCAGTGATATAGGTAATAGTGAAGATAATATGTATGGAATTACTGAAAAAAATTCAGATAATATTATATATTCAGAATATTAAATGTAGGGAACATTTAATATTCGACCTTAGCATTTTTACATTTAATGAATCGGCATGAAAAGATTGAATATAAATATAATTCATCATACTTTACCGTTTGCATGGTTTCTGATAGTAACGGTACTTTATGAAATATTAAACAAATCACACTTCATTTATAGCTTAAATTACTTATTTAATTATACATACATAACCTAAGGCCTATCTATGGCTAAAACTCATACCTACATAACCTGAATGAATTTAGTCATTAAGTAGGTAAGGTTTAATGAACTTATTACTGTTATCATATTTTATATGATGAGTGAACTCATTCATTTATTCACATATGTATTTTACTCATTTATTCAATATTTTACTTGTACTTAATGTAAAAATTATGCTAGGCATTGCCGTTAATAATTGTTTAAAAATGAGTAAGAGTAAGAAATGAGTCCGATAATGTTTAAAAATGTCATAGTACTCTAAGACTGGGGGGAAGGTGAGTGTTAGTAAAGTAGACTACTTATCACATTGCTAGAATTGTATTATGTCAGGTCGACCTCCATATGGTTTTCCCTGGAAGCCATCGTCATAAATTCATGGCGAATTTACCACGATGCTGGCTAACTGACCTGACTAATCATCTTATCATCCTCCACTGGTGCCCCGCTAGCGTAGACCGTTAGCGCAGGCGGGTGCACCGTTCCATTATCATTCATAAGTACTCTAAGTCTAGACAAAACGGGGCGAACGCCGAACAGTTGGTAGATAGCGGCGCTCGCGCAGTGGCCCAGTATCACCGTAGACGCCGCCGCGGTGCCTGTCACGTGGTAACAGCATGCTCCTGTGGTAGTAACCGTAACATATCCGATGGTAACGTTGCGGAACGAATTAACAGCTGTCTGTGTATGTTGACGTCCTATTATCAAATAAACTGCTGATTGTTGGAGGTGAGTGCCGGTTGAAATATATAATTTCTTATTTATTATCAATTTAAAAAATTTGGTTTAGTGTTCATTATTGCGAAGTATTGCGAAGACCTTGTAGTTTATTTTTTTAAATTGTTTATGTTAATTTCACTAAGTAACGGTTAGGTACATATGATAAAATATCACCAATTTTATGTTATAAATTGATATTATTGGTAAGTTGTTTAATGAAGAAAATTAATGGAACAATTTCTTTCAATAGCCCAAGTTGTTTGGGTACATACAGTCAAATAGATAGGTATACTACTTAATTTTATGTGTCATAAATTATATTATGTTTTTATTTTATTACCTAATGTAATGTATTTACTTCTTTTATTTACATAACACACTTATACTTATTAATAAAGATATTTAAGAGTCGGTCATTAAACTTCATTTGATTAAATTTATAATTTAAATGATAACATTTGACCTAATCCAATAATTATAAAATATACTCCACTCTAACAGTAATTGAATTTAGATTAGCGAAAGTAAAAATCTTACAATATAAACAACAACACTTAGGTACCTACATTAGCAGTTACATCAGATTTAAAAACGTAAAATCGTTATATTGTTTATGTTATTTATGTAACAGTAGCTGGGCAGATATAGCATCTACTTTATAAGTCTTTTTACGGCTTGTAAAGTATGTAATCTATGGCAGATGAGCACAAATGATGGCCAAGGTTAACTCTGCAAAACATCGTAACTTACGATTATGAAAATAATTATAAATCCTAGATATTTTTACTAGAATTTATGTATATGTTGTGAAAGGAGAGGATATAACGAACATTATTATGCCTACTTTAAAATGTAGGTACCTAATTTAAAACAGAGTTATGTTTCCTGCTTACAGGAAACATAACTCTGTTTTAAATCTCTAAATTATATTTAGTTTGTCATTAGTGCACTGAAAAGTAGATATATAAATTGACAAACATTTTTTTTTAAATCGGTCAAGTTTTGTTTTACGCCTTCTCTGTCTATGGCCGCAATGACCACCGCAGTTATTAATATTATAATTTGAACTAACCGACTAATTCTAATGACCACACTTTGTTTCTATGACATTATTAATATATTATATAAAATATATAATAATTAAAATAAAAATTATATTCTTTGACATAAGTTGTACATACGTAATTAAAGAAACTCAAAATTTTCGTCTTTGACCATTGTTTGATTAAGTCACAAAACGGGTAAGTAATTTTAAAATAATTATTTAAGCAAATTAGGTATCACACCTCAAACAACAACTAAAACTTAACGATTAAAATTTAGTAGGTAATGGTTATTATATCAGAATCAGAATATATTTATAATATATAGTTAGAAATATAATAAATAAATGATTATTAAGTTTAAGACTTTTCCTATATAGACATATATATATATGTCTATTAGGCAAGTATTTTGTTTTTTTTTTTGTATTCATATTTACAGTTCTTCAATAATATAATACAAATTCACAGTACAGTAAAGAATATGAAATTAAGAAAAACATTATGATTCCTGCTGCGAATTTATAAAATTTTTATGACTTCAAGAACACATAAATATTACCTAAGGATACAATAATTGTATTTTATTAATTTTTTCGTTTGATATTTTCTCTTTCAAGACAAATTTCATATTATTTTCTGTTGACAGTCATAACATAAAATAGTCTGATAAAGAACTAGATCTATTTTTTTTCTACTTTTAATTGGAATAGCAAAATAAATAAAACTAAATATAGGTAAACTTGTCGTATAAATAGTAAGTAATTAAAATATAACTAAATTCATTTCATAATGAATAAAAGATAGAAAATAAAAGACGTCATACGTCTTTAATACGATTTACAAACGTTCCACTAATGAGTTAATCCTCACTCAGTATTCACCTGAATGTACCTTGTAATTTCACAGCTGTAACTGAATAGAGCTGACAAGGACAGTAGAGATGGGTTTAACAGAGCCATCCATATCGCGTTGGTAGATTGTAAAAAATCTCTTATTTAATCTGTCCTACTAAAATTTCTGGCATTGTCCAGTGCGGTACAGGATTTATAAGATAGTGAATATAATTATGGAAAGGAAGGTTTTTAGGAAGGAATTGATAGCAGATAAAAGAATAATAAGAATAATGTCAATATCCAATATTTTTCTATACCAAATAATAGACAATAAAAAACAAACAATGTACAAAATTACAAACAATGTGCATCGTGCACAGGATTGCAATATTAAATAAATCGTTACGGAGGTTTTATTCCAAATAGTACGCACTCCTACTACACATTCTGCATATATAATTATACCTATGTAACAAGTCAGCAAAAGGCCTGTTGTCTACCTCATTTTTACAATCAGTTATAGCTTATTGTATTATTTCATAATGTGAAACATAAAACCAAAATTATTCTAGATAGCGCCTTAAAAGCTTTTGTAAAAGTCTGGTAGAATTTTCTCAGTTCATTTTTCTTACAGCTATAGGAAACTACGGACATCGATGTTACTTAATGGAGTTAACTTGATAAACTAAATTACTCTCAAAGATTATGTACAGTTTGTGTAGTTAAACTTCATGTTTAATCTTTATTTAATACTTCTTTAAATACAGGATATCCTGATTGAATTGACTCATCAACGGTGAGTACCTACGTTGTAAAATTAGCATCAGGAATTTTAGTAACGAAGCCTCTTTTGTGACTCCTGAAAGTAGCAACAAAGGCTTTTGAATATTAATTTCTAAAGAGAACAGAATGGATGAATGGACCAATCCTATTAATTGACCTCAAGTGAAAATAGCAACTGTGGCATTCCTAATATATAGTTATTAATTTTTGTTTTTATCATTTTTCTAAATGGGA